ATGATGTTGTTAATTTGGGATGGTGCTAGTTCAGTTAGCTTTTATTTCTTGAACATCACGAAGTGACTCCAAAACAGATGAATACCAATAAGGAAAAATCAATCAGAAAAAAAGAATCATTGTTTCGACAGCTTCGAAATTCAATGAAATTTTCTCTTGAATCTGTTGATCTCTTAGCGGATGAGCTTTTGATCGATGAATCAGACAAACTCTATTTTGTTGATACCATTCGAGCAGCCTTGAATGCTTTATTTTGCTGTATCTGCGCATGCTTAGTTTACATCCGCTAAGTAGTGTTGCCTGTGCACGGACTTGTTTTCATGATATTCAAGTTTTGAACGAAATCGCTGACGATAATGAGCATGAATGAATGAGTCCGATTGCGGTAATTATATCCCATCACTATGAACCATAGTCATTTTTATTCACTTGGACATACGTAACTGCGATAGTAATATCATGAATGTTGCTGCGTCTACTGTCGAATGCTTTCTAGCATATTATTTGTTGACGTATCATATTTGAACAGCATAAATTTCCATTTTGGTATATTCGAATTATGAATCAGTATTGTTGACGAAACAATTTTTTATTGCTCTCTAAATATACAGATGAATGGTAAAATATTCATACTGATTTTTTTAAATGAATTTATTAACTTTTATATTCTCAGCTGTGGTTTCACTTCGTTCACTAAGTGAATGGGTTACTGAAATAATCGTTCGAATTGCTACAACAGTACGAATGTATTTTTTCGGCTACCTCATTTCCAACCGCCGAAATTTAGTCTTGGCTGAGAATACGAGAATACGACTTCCGAAGAGGAAATTTATGCTTTATCTGTTTTCTGTTGATTTTTTTTAATAAATCAGCGTTATGTGCTGTTGAGCCCGGTCTACCCTATCACATTTCAACTATTCTTAATGATAACTTCATTACGCCCGCTTCACAAAATATTGCGGTGTTTTAATGTCAATCGACGGGCAGCAATAGCTTTCATTGTCTTCGTACTAGGATAGTTGATCACGTTACGTGATCAAGTGGTTTTTGAACAACGTTGAATAGCCTTCTGCAGTCAAGAAAGTTCATGAGTAACACGTCTGTGACCCCAAATATGGATGCTTACTGTTGATGGTACTTCAGGAAAAGGACGAGATTCTAACAGTGACAAGCTCACCGATCGCTGACGAGCATACGGATTCCGGTATCGAGAACAATCGAGCGTCCTCGTCGTACCAACATTCCCCGTCAACCTCGAGTGGATTCTCTCCGCAAAGTCAGTTGTTACGCAATATCTTAATGCTCACACGTATTATGTAACAATGAATTTTTGTTGACTTGAAATAATTCCGTTCAGTTGAGTGGAATAGTCCGCGTGAATACGACGACGCTGGTTCAGCTGCCGAAAAACGTAAATATTTTACGCAAACAAAGTGGCACGCAGAAGAGACGACATCTGCAGACGACGTCTCACTTCGCACTAACCTTCTCTCTTCATCGCAACATTCCGACACAGCACTAAACAACAGCCGAAGAAGCGATCATCGAGTTGGATCGCAAGTCGACACATTACTACAGATTGATAAAAATCAGTTGCAAAATTTTGAAGATAAAGCAAACGTTAAACAAGAACAGGTATAAATTAGCTATAGTTCTATCTTTGGTCAGCCTTAACTACCTAAATGACCAAGCACTGAGCTTCAAAAAATCAGTTCACAGGCCATTCACGTTTCGTTATCTTTATCGTTATGGAGCGTTTCGAACGAAACACGTGAATAACACAGCAACACATTTGATGAGTTGATATTGGCGTTCTTGTTTGGAAATGATAAAATTACTTAAAAGTTATCATAAAGTGAACGTGCGATTACACACACCATTGCCACCAACCACAATGACACTAGGACATTTCAGATTTCACAAAGAAATTTATCCGGGCTCAGTACACCGAACAAACCGATTGGTAGTGAAGTGGAATT